TTCCATTCCATCCATACAGCCGCAGTCCCACTAAGGAAGCCCAAGACTTTCCTTGACAAATGCTCTAAGTCATCTTCCACCAATCCCTCAGACCTACCCTACATTCACATAGAAAAAACATGACCCTGAACACATCATTTTCATCATCATTTTCATGGTTATTTCCATGTGGTAATTTCCAGCTGACTCTCATCTCAAATTAAAAACAATCTAGGATTGTCTTCTATAAACTGCTCATTTACTATCCCTCATTCTGCTATACCCAATCCTTATCCCACACAGCAATCAAACACTAGCTGATGAACCTGCAATCAGTCCTGTTCAGTCCCATGTGTGACTTTCACACATGCCACCAGCCTAGCCTAGAACATCTCCCCTTCTCTTCCTTATCGATCATGCCTCTCCCCAGTGCTCATCAACTCCCTAAGACTTACAGGCAACACCTTCGTCAGTATCATTCCAAAACACTTACCTTGCCCAGTCCTCCCAAAGGCAGATGCTGTGCTACAATTGGAATGAAGCCCCATTCACTACTTGATATATCACCTCAAGTCCTCTAGCTGGCTTACAAGTTACTTTATAGCCTGAGCCCATCTAAACAGAACTAAACCCAGACTCTAAAAACAAACTTCTCAAATCAGGCCTACTCCTTCCCTGCCTCCATTCGTTTCTAGCTTCAGGTTGCCTTTTGTCACTGCTTAAGATTGGAAGCACACAGTGACTCACACCTGTAATCCCAGCACTTTAGGAGGATGAGGCAGGCGGATCACAAGGTCAGGAGTTCAAGACCAGCCTGGCCAATGCGGTGAAACCCCATCTCTACTAAAAATACAAAAATTAACCAGGCGTAGTGGTGGGCACCTATAGTCCCAGCTACTTGGGAGGCTGAGGCAGAAGAATCACTTGAAACCAGGAGGCGAAGGCTGCAGGGAGCCAAGATCACACCACTCTACTCCAGCCTGAGTGGCACAGCAAGACTCCGTTTCAAAACAAAAAAAAAAGACTGAAAGCACAGATTAACCTCTAGAAGAAGCAAAAGGATGGATTCTAGACCATAGGGATAAAGGGAGAGTAAAAGAATATGTCAAATGGCTCTTGCTGCCATTTGACATATTGTACAATCGTGGCTTTCCTCTGTAGAGCTCTATTCTTAGAGTCATGTCCAACATGATTAGGAAGACAGGCTCCTGGGAGAGTTTGGGGAGGGCTATCAGATCTAGGCCTTATAAAAAGAATAATTTTCATTTTTTTTCACATTGCCCAAATGGTAAGAACCCAAGAGCCAAAATTAGATGAAAGATGCCTTAGGAAGCCACAGTAACCTCCTGAAACCAGCCCAGTCTACTCTGATCCTTCTTTTCCCTTAACACCACATTTCCGGGAGCACACGTGAGTTTCATGAGATAGCACTGCAAACTAGAAAGGGCATGCAGGCCAGGCACGGTGGCTCATGCCTGTAATCCCAGCACTTTCGGAGGCCCAGGCGGGAGGATCAGCTGAAGTCAGGAGTTTGAGATTGGCCTGGCCAACATGGTGAAACCTAGTCTCCACTAAAAATAAAAAAATTAGTCGGGTATGGTGGCACATGCCTGTAATCCCAGCTACTTGGGAGGCTGAGGCAGGAGAACTGCTTGAACACAGGAGGCAGAGGTTGCAGTGAATCACGATCATGCCACTGCACTTCAGCCCAGGTGACAGGGCAAGACTCGGTCTCAAAAAAAGAGAAGGGAAAGGGCATGCAGAGACAGTAGGGTAGTCCATCAAGATCAGATATTCAGCCAGGGAGAGAATGATAGGAAACAAGGGCCCTGCACTCCCACCAACTTATAAAGTAAAATGGAAATAAAACCATGTTGTCTGAAGAAGCATAGGGTACCATGACAACATCTAAAAGGAAGATGGATCACATCAAGGTAATCAGATTGGGCAGTGACTCTGGTCTGAGGCTGTGCCCAATAATACAAAGCCATTTAAGCCACATTATGGTTTTATTTAGGGTTTTGGATTATAGTGAGTTTGGGTGAGGTTTTTAGTTTTTTGTTCTTTATCCTAAAAGCAGAGAAGCTTCTGAGACTTACACAGGTGAATGGCATCATCAGATTGAACTGCCACAAACTGCTCAGGCTACAGTGTGTCCAAGGGACTGGAAAGTGGTAGTGAAGAGGCTCCCAGGAGGAGGCAGAACACAGCAGTGGAGACGGATGCAGGTTGATGATTCAGGATGCACCCATGAAGTCACACTCATAAGATGCACCACCAGACAGGTTTCGTGGGGAGTAATGAGGAAGAGAGACAGATAAAAAGGAAGCCTCCCGGGTCTCTAGTCTGGGTGGTGGTGCTCTGGGGAGACTGAGGCAGGCCAGTGTAAGACAGGGGTAGGGGATGGATAGCATGAGGCAGATATGACAAGAGGAAGTAAAAATTAGCTTGCACCAAGAAAGCAAAAGTCTGTCCTGACTTTTTTCAGGTTGGAATAACAAACAGAGATAAAGTCAGGTGCCAAGTTAACAGAAAATATGTCTCCCAAAGACAATGCAACTGTGAAGTGTCATAATGATCTCTTCTTTGAGTGACTGCTAACTTCTTATGCACTGAGAAGCCTTACTCTGTAAAATTCCAGACTGTCAAAAATTTTGCTGTTTGAAATTGTACCAGTAAGAAGATCCCACTCTTGCCTGCAGGATCTAAGTCACTGTGACACAGAAGGGACTATTTCCAGCGACTGCAGAGCTTCAAGTAAGGGATTTCTAGAACAATGTTCCATATCTATTTGAACTTTGTAGTTTTCAAGGAAACAGGGCCTTGGTCCACTTCACAGCCAGACTTGATATTGGTCTTCAGACCCAGCTCTATTTTGCTTCATTTACGCTTGACCTAATACCACTCGTCTCCAAGTCCTGTAACAGCTCTATCCTCTTCTTGTTGAGATGCCCTACAGTTTCTCTGGTGTTCTGGTGTGGTCTTCCTCATTGCAAAGAGCCATAAACCTCACTCTGTCAGACTGTGGGTCTGTTCCTGGTGACCTCAGACTACTAATTAGGGTAGGGCAAACATTTAGAATTTGAAATAATCGTGAAACAAGTAGGAAGAAATGCCAAGCAAGAGTCAGACACAGGGCCTTGAGCTTGGGGAGAGTTCTGGGCTAGAGATTAAATCCAGCAGCCACCGGCATCAAGACGGTACCTGAAGATACAAGTGTGCGTGAGGCTGCCGAGGGAGAAGCCGTGGGGTGAGGCAAGAAGGGGTCCAGGCCTGAGCCTCAAGCACTATTGGAAGGCTGCTAAGCAGAGAAGGATAAATCAGCAAAGGAGAATATGCAGGAACTGCCAGAGAGATCATGGAAAAAGAGGTGACTCTATGGCCTGGGGGAGGCCGGGACTATAAGATCAGATCTCCCAAAGTCTGACTGTGCTCAAGCGACCACAGATTTGTTTGTGGCCCTCACTGGGTTTGGTCTTGGCAGGGAGAATGATCACTAAAGACACTCATGTTAACTAACTCACGAGACCCCGATGTATTTTTTAGAATGCCAGTTTATTTATTTACAGTGAGAATATAACCAACCAGCAGGCTGCCATACACTGCTACTGGTATATGTCTATTTACCTTCCTTTCCTGAAGATAAATGCACAAGGAATGACTCATCTCAGAAAGTCGATGGATGAGCATGAAATCGGAAATTAAGAAGTCAATGACCTGGCATTTTGGCAACCAATGACATGGTACATATCTGGCAGGGTCCTAGTAGGAAAGACAAATCAACACAGATGTTGAGGCTTTTCTGAAAGGACCACTTACAGAGGGGAGAACAGAGATAAGGGGACCACCAAGGGACAGTGAGGCACCCAGGGACTAGCAACAGCCCTACAGCCAAAGAAGCAGGGGTAGAAAACAGCATTACTGGAGTCCAGCAAGAGCTAGGACTGTGGAAGAGGCCTCTAGACAGGAGTCTTTGTTGTGGAGGGATGCAGCTACTGCCACACAACAGCAGCAAAGCAGTGAGGGAGCAGGAAGAAACACCCCAACCCAACCTCTCTCCACCAGTAATACCTTCCATTGGTGACCCCCACCGGCAGCCAGTAAGGTAACTGGGGGAACCCTGTCTGCAGGGATTCACCTCCCAGAGCACACCACAACGCAGAGAAGAATGGATCTGAGGAAACCAAAGACAATGTAAACAGGGCAAGGCACTGTGGTTACCACAAGAACTATCCCTTCTAACTGGATATGGCTGGCCTACTCACCAGATACATTTGCACAAGCCAGAAACTCATGTTCTTGGGGTGAGCTACCTTCTTGTATGGACAAGCGCTAGGCCTGCCTGGGCCCCCCGGATGCACCTTTTCTAGGGGGCACACAGTGAGGACTAACAACCAAATGTCACGCTGTAAATTCGCCTTAACCATCAAAGGCTGATTTAACCATGATTCAGTCTCAACCAAGTGCTGAGTCAATCTCAGAATATCTCCAGGAACTTCAATAGTCTCCTAAACTGGTATTAAATATAATGGCTCAGCTCAAATCTCAAAAGTCTGAATGGACATCAGAAAGCCTAAACTTCAATCAATTCTAGAAAGTGACTCACTCATCCACCTAAAGATAAGTGAACGTACTTCCAGCTATCTCTACTGACAAGTTAACTCCATAAAAAGTTTCCATATGGCAAGATCCTTAACTTACACAGTGAGTACTTAGTTTTCAGGGCAAAGCTTTAGGTATCAAAAGTACAAAATTCTTCTGCCAATGAAGAGAGAGAGAGAGAAAGAAGCTGATAATAGATGCTCAGAAAACTGGCAACCTTTCCTCTACCACCAACTTACATATGTCCAAGTTACTATGCTGAGGAAACCTCCCTTTTCTTAGGTCATCAGACTCTCCCAAATATCATCATAAGGACCGTAAGAGTGCCTTAAAATGTGTTTACAATTACTTATTTACCTAAGGTAAATCTACCAGAACAAATTAGTCACCACCAATGACTGCTAAACATGCAGACTCACTTTTTTCTACAATCTTTAATTTCTGGAAGCTTTCCAGCACCTCCCCATTTAGTATTCTGGGTAAGAAATCCCGTATTTGCATCACTTCAGTTGTCAGCCGTTCCAGGTCCTTCTTTCTGACTTTAACAAATTCCTCTTTGGTTCCCATGTGCTAAAAGAACAAGCAGATCTTATTATATTTCTCTTCATATGACAAAAACAAAAAACAAAAAACAGCCCAAGTCAACTTGTTTCCTTTTCTTTTATGCCTCTTATGTTCATAATTGTTTCAAATCATTCTTTTCAAATCATGTTCTGCTATATTTTTATGTATATATAAACATTCTGAAAGCTGAAGTTTCGGCCTTCAAAAAGGGGGCAGATGTCAAAAATAAGTGCAAACAGGCCAGACATGGTGGCTCACACTTGAAATCTCAGGACTTTGGGAGGCCAGTTCAAGACCAGCCTGAGCAACAGAGAGAGACCCTGTCTACAAAAATATGAAAACATGGCCAGAGGCCGAGTGCGGTGGCTTATGCCTGTAATCCCAGCACTACAGGAGGCCGAGGCGGGTGGATCACCCGAGGTCAGAGTTCGAGACCAGCCTGACCAATATGGTGAAACTCCGCCTCTACTAAAACTACAAAAACTAGCCAGGCCTGGTGGTGGACGCCTGTAATCACAGCTGCTCAGGAGGCTCAGGTGGGAAGGCGGCTTGAGCCCAGGAGTTGGAGACTGCAGTGAGCTATGATCGTGCCACTGCATTCCAGCCTGGGCAACAGAGCAAGACCACGAAAAAGAAAATGCAAACATGAGCTGTATTCCTAAAAGTCAAAGAAAACACCTGCAACTTTTTAGCATTGCAGCACCCAGCTGATCAGGAGGAAAAGGAAGCCATCTGTAATGGTTTCCTACTGGGGGTGCCAAGCCCTCTGCGGGTGATCGCATCTACTATTCACCCCAAGCCTCCAGGATTGTCCCGATGGACATTAAGGCACCAGAGCTAGGTGAGTCTCCACGCAGCACAATTAATACGGGGCAGAAGCAGGATGTGAACACGGATCTGGCCCCAGAGCCCAAGCACCTTCTCCATCGCACTCAGTTACAGTTACAAAATCAATGGAGGGGCTGGGCGCAGTGGCTCACGCCTGTAATCCCAGCACTTTGGGAGGCCGAGGCGGGCGGATCACGAAGTCAGGAGATCGAGACCATCCTGGCCAACATGGTAAAACCCCGTCTCTACTAAAAATACAAAAATTAGCCAGGTGTGGTAGTGCACACCTGTAGTCCCAGCTACTCGGGAGGCTGAGGCAGGAGAATCACTTGAACCCGGGAGGGGGAGGCTGCAGGGAACCGAGATCGAGCCACTGCACTCCAGCCTGGCGACAGAGCGAGACTCCATCTCAAAAAACAAATTAAAAAAATTCGGTGGAGGGCAGATTCTCTCTAAGCCTGACGCTGAGTCCTGGAGCAGGCCTTTGGAGGAAAACGGTGTTTCCACGGGGCAGCAAGCAGAGTGACCATCCGTCCCACGCTCCCACGCCCGCTTTGGCGCCACTCAGCGCCCCACCGCGCACAGCCTCGCAGACCCGGCCCCCGCGTGCGTTTGGAGGCGAAGTCGCCTCGCGCCCAGGCCTCCACCCCGTCCTGGCCCAGCCCACGCTGTCCGGGGATCAGGTCTCCAGGCCTCCCCAAGCACGCGACAGCGGGCCGTCTGCAAGCTCACTGGGCGAGGCTCTGAAGGCTGCGAATGGCCAGGGCCTCCTCAGGGACCCAGCTGACCTCCTCAGCGCCGCTCGCTTCGCCCATGGCCGCCACCCCCTGCGCCACGTTCGCTTGCGCGACGGCGGCGCGACCTCTGACCCCTCACGCCAGAAAGCGCGGGAACGTGTCCACGGGGGTCGGGAACGGAGAGCCGCGAGGCTCAAACCTCGCAGAAATTGCGCTGCATTCTCTGCCTAGAGGGCGAGTAACGGCCTTGGTGAGCCCCGCTTTGGCTCTTCCGGCTTAGCCCGGGTTTTAAACTAGTTATCTACGAAGCAGAAGGAAAGTCGGCCCCTGGTGTAAGCGTCAAGTAAAAGAAATCGGAAGGGCCTTTTTCTGTTTGGCGAGGAGTGCTGCCCTCAGGGGGACTGCGTTGAAACGGGCAGTCTTGGCTGGAAACTCGCCTCCGCGGCCCGCCTTCCCTCGCTGGGATTCAGGCGCTTTCATGTTAAGGGATGAATTTGGCAACAGGCACCGCGGGAGGCCGCCCAGATAACTAAGCGCGGACAACAGACATAACCGCCCGCTACGCGTGGAGTCATCTAGGCCATTAACTTGCCCCAGCACGCCCGCCGAGCGCGCAAACTATAGGATGGCCTCGGGTTATACATGAACCCAAAGCTGATTTCTTCCCGCTCTCAAGCAGCCCGCCCTGCCCAGCTCGCCGGGAAGCGCGCGTGCTCTCCAGGCCTCGGGACGCCGGCGCGGGCGCCCCTGCACTGGCACCAGGGCTCCGGGGTAGGGGCGCGCCGAGCTGCCCGAGCCTCCGCTGGCGCTGGCGAAAGGAACGCCCTCCACCCGCTCAGCAGGCCCCAGTGCCGGCCTTTCCTTCCAGTCTCAACTCCACCCGGGGGACCCGGAAGCTCCGCAGTTAAAAACTTTGTGCCACGGAGATCGCAGGAGAGCTGCTGGCTCAACGGGGTGTGCTAAATGGGACTAAAGATCCTGGACCGTGGCCGGGCGCGGTGGCTCAAGCCTGTACTCCCAGCGCTCAGAGAGGCCGAGGCGGGAGGATCGCTGGAGGCTAGGAGTTTGAGGCCAGCCTGGGCAACATAGCGAGACCCCGTCTTTGTAAAAGATAATAAAAATTAGCGGGGCGTGATGGCGCGCGCCTGTAGTCTCAGCTACTCGGGCGGTCGAGATGGGAGGATCGCTTGAGTCTGGGAGGTCGAGGCTGCAGTGAGCCGAGATTGCGCCACTGCACTCCAGCATGGGCGACATAGCGAGACTTTGTCTCAAACAAATAAAATTTCCTAGACCGTTTACAAACAGCCGTCCGTCTCTTCTTGGTCAAGTCCTAACCTGGCTAACTTCGCCGTCTACAGCCTCAATTCTGGCAATCGACAGGCAGCGCCGGCGCCACGCATACGCGGGATAGGCCGCTAGGACTGCTGCCAGGGCCAGGGCCGCGCTCGCTCCCAGGGCGCGCTGCGAGCGCCGGCGCCTTTGTGACGCCATCAGCCCGCGCGCCACCTCCACCTACTGCGCAGTCGCGGCTCGGGCGGACGGCGACGGCTCCGCGGTGCTCGGTTGGCGGCAGCGGCACTGTGGGTTGCGCGGCCGGGGATGCTCCAGCGGGCGCGATGGCCCCCGCCATGCAGCCGGCCGAGATCCAGTTTGCCCAGCGGCTGGCGTCCAGTGAGAAGGGCATCCGGGACCGGGCGGTGAAGAAGCTGCGCCAGTACATCAGCGTGAAGACGCAGAGGGAGACAGGTGGGCGCACGGCGGCGGTCAGCCGCGCCACATGGCGGGCCGGAGGCAGGGGCCGGGGCTGGGGCTGGGGCTGGGGCCGCGGCACGGAGCGCGGCTTCCACGCGTTGTCGTGACACCCAGAGCGTCCTGCAGTTTTCGCGCTGCCAGAACTGCTTCGTGCTATGTCTAGTGCCTTTTTACAGTTGAGGAAACAGGTTGAGGGGGTTCCGTTACTTGTGAAAGTCACGGTGAGCGGGGAAGCTGAGAAAAGACCCACATGGGTCGGATTCCCTGGCTGGCATCTCGCATCCCTGGGCTGCCCCGATTTGTCCTGGTGTCCGGTCGGTGATTCCCGCCTTTCTTTGACCAGCACCTTTACGTGCCGGGGCTGCAGGAGAGAAGACAGAATCCCTACTCTGGAGGATCTGTTAGTAATAAAGCAAGGAGATAAACAGGCTGATAAAGTAGACCTTGTGTAAGTGTAGTAAAGGAAATGAAAACCAGGTAGCAGGCCGGAAGTGGTGGCTCATACCTGTAATCCCAGCACTTTGGGATGCCGAGGCGAGCGGATCACCTGAGATTAGGGGTTCGAGACCAGCTTGACCAACTTGGTGAAACCTCGTCTCTACCAAAAATACAAAAATTAGCCGGGCGCAGTGGCGCGGGCCTGTAGCCCCAGCTTCTCGGGAGGCTGAGGCAGGAGACTTGCTTGAACTCGAGAGGCCAAGATTGCAGTGAGCCGAGATTGTGCCATTGCTCTGCAGCCTGGGCGATAGAGCAAGAGTTTGTCTTCTAAAAAAAAAAAAAAAAAAAAAAAAGAAGAAGAAGAGAGAGAAAGAGAGAAGAAAGAAAAAAAAAACAGGTAATAGGAAAAAAAAGTGAAGGAGGTTGCTCTTCTTGATAGGCTGTTCTGAGAAGGCCTCACCAGGGTGATGTTCAGCTGAGATCTGAAGAGAGATCAGCGGAAACCGCCTATGCAGAGGCAGGAAGGAGCTTCGCCTCTCCTAGGAGTGGCTAGAAGACCAATAAGCTGGGGAGGGGGAGAGTGTTATGAGATGAAGCTGGAGATGTAGGCAGTGGGCCAGATCACACAGCACTGCTGTTGAAGGATTTCATTTACCTGATCCGAAAATATTTTCTGTAAACTCTTGAGTGAGCCCATATGATATGAACTACAATGTGTGATAGAGGTTTTATGCTGTACCAAGATAAAGTTTGATTTAGCTACTGGTGGTATTAACACATTAGAATCTGTTTAAAAGAACAGCTATTATCTCCCCACCACTGATATTCTCAGTTTGTTTTATTTTGAAGAGAAATCACCCGACTACCCCAAAAAAGAAAATACACTTTCCTGGGAACTCTGGTGGAAAAAGGAATGGAAACCAAAATTCCTGACTTTGATTCCGTTAGGGATCTCCCTAAGAGATTTCTGTTTGCTGGCACACTTCGGGGTACCCCATGTATGCTGGTGGTTTCTAAACCTAAATTGTTGACCCAGCCCTTTCCTGCTTGCAGCTCCAATGTGCCTTGCTAGCCTGGCATCTCACACTCAGAATGCCAAAAAACGGCCTATTTTCTCCCCAAAGCCTGTTCTTTGCTGCTGCTCCTCTGCCACCTGTTTTCTCTTCTTCTAGTTGCTAGTTTCTACTAGCCACTCAGACTCCAGCTGGACACACAGGATTGTCCTGGACTCCTCTGTCTTCCTCATCCTCTTGCCCTGACCCACATCCAGTGTCCCTCAGCCCTACCTCCTTCATCTCCTGTTGAAATAAATTCTCTGACCTTAGGCCCTTTGCATCTCCCTGGACTACTGCACCTACATGTTCCCTAACTGGTTGCCTTAACTTCATTTGTGTCCCCCCTGAATCTCCTCCACAGACCAACCCAGAGTCATCTTCCTAAAACAAATCTGATCCCGCATCACCAATATTTTTGAAATCCAGTGTCTGCAAGTCATGATCTGTCCTCAGGTGCTCTTCCTCCTCAGCCCCGTGTGACTGCTTCGTGTTCCATCAGCAGAACCGTTCGTGGTCCTTGGTGTACAACACACGATTTCTCACCTCTCTGGCTTCGCTTTTCCTGTTTGCTCTGCAAAGAATCCCATGCCTTCTTCACTCCTGGCATTCAGTTCACTATCACTTCCTCCAAAAAGCCTTCCTAGCATCTCGCCCTATTCCTCTAGGGTTCTAAAACATCTATTGTTTAGAACAAAGGTGTTTAGAACAAAGATGTTACATCTTTGTTGTAGCACTTAGCTACGTTGCTTCTTACTTATCTGTTAATGTGTCATTCTTCTCCGGAGACACTGTAAGCTTCTATCTGTTTTCTTAGCCAGAAGTGGGAGTACATGTAGCCATAAAAAGTCCTGGCCTGTACAAGAGCAGAAGACCAAAAGCAATACTTACAGGGCTAAGACAGCCTAGGCAGAGAACCTTTTGCTCAAACTCTTCGTTGAGCTGGCCCAGGATTTGCAAATGCTGGGGTTATACAGGGGCCGAAGACCAGCTTACATCAGTGCCCCAGCGTCCTGTCTGCTTAGTGCCTGTCAACACCCAGGGTTACCTGTACATCTTGTTCACCACCACATTGCATGGAGGATGTGGGCCTTCAAAAAATAACTGCACTGTGAGCATCATGGACAGTGATAACAGACAAGAAAACAAGGTCTCCGCCACAGCACTGCCCCATCACAGTCAAAACACAAATTTGGAAATAACTTGACCTGATATTTGACTCCCGTTGACAGGCTGAAACTTTTTTGCATCTTGTCTTAGTCATTATAAAGGAAATCTGAGATTTCACTCTTCCTGAAACGAGCAGTTCTGCAGCAACATAAATGGATAGCTTTGTAATTTTAAAAATAAATTGGAAATGTTTGTATTGCTTTAAGTAACAGAATGTTGTGCTCGTGCTTTAACCATTCAAGTTGGGTACTCACAGTCATAAAATGATCACTCTGCATGGCTTTCATTCATAAAGCTCATTTGTCCCAATTCATTCATTCATTCACTCATATATTTAGCAAACATTTTAGAGTGCCAACTGTCTACTACTATGTACGCTATTCTTGGCACTGGGAATACGGCAGTGAAGAAAACAGACGGTCCCTGCCTCTCTTAATCAGTTCTGCAACTTTAAACGTATATACTAAAATGGGGAGGCATTCTAAAATCAACCTGGTAACAATTTCATTTGCATCATTGCTTTCTTTTTGGCAACATATAAAATAACAGTACATCTTGTTGTTGACGGTATCTTAGATTCAGTGTAGATGATGGAGGAAATGTTTTTTTTAATAACAATGGGGTTAGGGTTCTCTCTACCCAAGCGTTATAATACATAGGCTAAGATGTGGATGTTTTGACACTGGGGTGTGTTCAAGTGTAACACTTAACCCCATCTAAAATGGCTCCTGGGCTCATTGCGTGCTGAGAGTAGCTGTTGGATTTGCTCATTTCAAAACTTACTGATATTTCGCATGTCTACATGTCTCACTTTGATGTTCACCTCATTTGTTTTGTGTGTGTGTGTTTCTTGTATTTTTTTAAGAGATGGAGTCTTACTCTGTCGCCC